ATTCAGAATTTCACTTGAGAGCATGCAAAATCTAATATCAACAGAAAGCTGGTTCTCTGTAAAAGGAGCGAGGAAGGGGTAAAATTGTTGTGTGACCGATGGCATGAGTTGTGGGTTACCTCCACGCTTAATTACAATCCTTAACATGTCACGCAGTCTGCGCAAGTTCCTCATAACTTTGCGGCAGATAGAAGCGTTGATGTTTTGTGACGGTGAAAGTGATGGTTCGAGGCTCAAAAACTCTTTCGCGTATGGTGATAATTGAACGTTACTAATGACCGTTACTCTTGCACTCTTGTCTTCAATTGAAGCTAGGCACTCTTGAAACTGGTGAACTTAGTCAAACATTTCTGGGCATCGCAGTGTTTCTCACATAGTGTACTCGAAAATCGATCGGACTTCAAGCAGAGTCTGGATTTCGCGTCAACCGGAATCGCAATTAACTTCAATCCGCTCTCAATCTCCTTACAAACATTAACAGGTAAATAGCGTTTACAAAACAATTCCTTGGCTTCAAATTTCAACAATGTGCTATAAAAGAATCTCACCGAGAACAACCCGAAGATAATAAAGTTGTGTAGGAAAATGTCGAAGACAGTTATTAAGGAGAGACAACAAATTCTACAATCCTATTCTACGAATTCTACAATTCCACGCTTAGCTACAATCCTTAACATGTCACGCAGACGTGACATGTTAAGGGTTGTAGCTAAGCGTGGAAGTAACCCACAACTTATGCCATCGGTCACACAACAACTATCATTACTCTTTACTCGCCTCTTTTACAGAAAACCAGCTTTCTGTTGATACTAGATTTTGCATGCTCTCAAGTGAAATTCTGAATGTTTTACGTAGATTTAAGCATGTGCGTTAAAACCTTGACGTGAGAACAGTGGCAAGGCTTTAGGGAAGTGCGCGAAGCTATAAAAGACCGCTCTATTCGAGTTTCCATTAGCGACAAAACTTTGTAGTCATGCCGCAAATATTGGAGAAAGAAATTGCGGAAACGCATCTCTCTGACGTAACAATATACCAGCGCTCCACTGAAAAGGATTATTAGATGCAATGAAAAAGCTGAATGAAGTTTGGGTTAGCGTAGCAAGATCAGTAAGGCTGATCGCTTTAAGAAACTTATTAGCATACTAAAGCTAGAGAATCCTGTTTGCCCAGTATTCTAATACCTGGTAAAGACGCTCAAAATAACACCGAGCGAGCTCCACTCCATGTCTGCGACTACTTATGAGATACGTCCGATAATAAGCTGTGTTGGCGGACGCACGGATCGATTAGCATGGCTTCTAAATAGGATTGTAAGCCAGTTGCTCCCGAAGTTCCCTCTATGGCGCACTATATATTGGTGAAACGGATAGAATGTTGAAAGTTATAATCAAGGAGCACTTAGCGAATAAAAGGCGAGCGAGTGCGTTGCCATCGTTAGGAAAGCATAGAATAGAACTACATAATGACGGTGATTTTGATGTAAATTGCACAATTTTATTATACGAAGCAGAGATTATAGCACGAAAAACTATGAAAGCAGCCTTCATTTCTGTTATTCTGCATGGATTTCTGTCAGAAATCCATGCAGAATAACAAAAATGAAGGCTTATCGACGACCGAACTCTTGCCATTCTTGTCAATATGTAAGCTACAGCCTGCACATACATAAAGATCATTCTGCTAAGCAACGCTCAGTGTCGCCCGTCTACTTTGTGCGTTTACTGACTAACTCACTAACACCGCGGTGGAACATAGGTCAGTTTCTACTACATCAGCATGTGACTCAGTACGTTGTCCTCGGGACGAAATCCAGGCTGACTGATGCTTGGGGATTGGTTAGGCGGTCTTATCTCGCACATGAGTAACTGCAATCTACTTCAGATCTCCGAAGGCGACGACTTTGTTGAAAAGTAAGGTCAATAAACGATACCCCCGTACCAACCAGGGCCAGGCAGGAGGTGTCATTTCAGAATTTTGAAAACGATATCCCCTTTGAAGCCAAAATTTCTTACGACTTCCCCTTTGACCCTATTTTTGACCCCCGTAAGTCCCTGACAAACAGATATACACAAATAATAAGATGGGCGGCCTTAGCGCTTACTATAGTAGTACTACCTGGCTTTCCTGGTCGCCTTGGTCATCGTTTTGAGGGGATGGCCAAAAACCACACTTTGCCCTTCTACTTTCCCGTCCTTTTGGGCTATATTCTCCACCCCTTTTCTGCAGTATCAATTCTGCACTGCAGCCCTCCCCCTTACCCTCCTGCACGAGCTTACCTCAGAAAGGCTTATTGGAGTGACACCTTTTAATTTTAAAGTGGAAATGAACTTCACTGCATTGTTCATACCAAAATGTGCAAGCAGTTTTAGCGGCTGGTAAGTGTTCACTTTTCTTGCAAGGTATCAAAAATCATTGAATTGATAGAAGAATTCCACGAATTGCTTCGAAGGGTAGCTTAAAACCATCTACCGAGGCCGAAATTGCGATTGGAGCGCGCTTTCCGAGGCCGATCATAATGCTGTGAACCTTTGGGGGTATCGAAGCGGTGCCATGGTTGTTTTGGAAGCGGATGTGAACATATAGTAATGCTCTCGACCTAGTCCACATTTATGTAAAGAAATCCGGAAAATTATGTGAATGGAAGCAGGGAGCCACCTCAGGTTGCTCCCAGGTGCCGCAGGAGCCACCTAATTTCGAAAAATACTTACTATTTTTTAAATTCACATAAGTTTCTCATAATTCTTCATACTTTTTTGTGCTTATGGTCCTCCAACTACACAGCAAATTTGGTGCCATATCGTTACTTGTGCATTGAAAACGAGCCTATTTTGTTATTTTCCTCTTGCAAGAATTGCGATTTGAATTCCCGCCTGCGGGCAGGCTAGTGATCGGAGCACAGAATCTTCACATTGCTGGAATCTAAGTTCAATCAACAAGGAATGATGAATTTGGGCTCCGCCCCGGACCCCAAAATACGACTTCCCCTTTGCTTTTTCGGGCCAAAAACGATATCCAGCTTGTGAAAGCGCAACCCCCGCAGGGCCCTGGTACCAACCTAAATCTGGCACAAAATAACATAGAATGAGTACATCAAGATGTCCAGGTTTAAAGAAGAGATAATTTGGAATTTAAATCACATGTTTTGGCGGCTACATGCCTTCACAACTTCATGAAAAGTTTGACATACCATACCGCTCATAATTAGCCGAAAAAGTCCCTGGACTGCGGCGCACTCCGCCGCACTCCGCCGCACTCCGCCGCAGTCCAAGAGAGCAGCGGAGTGCGCCGGAGTGCGCCACTGCTTGGCGACTTTCTGACGAATCATGAGCGGTATTGTATAAAAAGCAAAGAATATGGCGCAAACTTGCTTTTGCAGTGCATTAGCACTTCTTCAAATCGACTTCACTCGAACAGCGCTTCACTCTGCGAAGAATACTGGGAATAATCGTGTCAAAATGCGTTAGAGGGGAAGAATCGAGTCTTCTGCTCTATGCGGATGCTTTTGTCTTTTTTAGAATTTTATCGCCATGCTGTTTCCGAACGTCTCATGATATTGATCCTTTGTCAAATTGTTTGCTGGGTCGTTAACTTTTCGAATTAATGCCTTAAGCTTTGATCTCTTTACCAAGGTTTAGCAATGCTTCGGGACAGCTTTTGTTTTTTTTAGAGTTTCATCTCCGTGCCATTTCCGAACGTTTCACAAAATTAATTATGCTTTGTCATTGTTGCTGGGTCGTTAACTTTTCGAATTGATGTCCTGAGGCTTTGATCTCTTTTCCATGGTTTACCAATGCTTCAGGACGCCAATTTCGGCAATACATCAAAGCAATTACCAACTTTCTATATCAAAAATAAAAATATGCTGCGATTTTATCGAAGCTGCTCACATAAATAGCCGCTTGGGGCGCATTCTTTACTGCACGCTTTCGTTTCTTAGACGGTTTTTTGTTTCAATCAATTTTGCAAAAAAGAATAAGTTTAGTCTACTACTCTTTCATAGCTGAAAAGGAGCTTGTTACCAGTGATGCTCTCTCATAGATCAGATTGTTTGAGCGATGCAAGCTCTACAAGGGGGAATCAAAGCATCCGCGCAAAGATTGATTCCTGCTAAGTTTGAACTCACAATCGAACGTCTAAAAACCCACCCACTTCCAATCTGTTCACTGTAGACTCTCCTAATCAAATATTTTCGAAAACAATCACTTATTTTTTTCTAACTAGAATACGAAAGAGAAAGTAAGGTAAAAATGCGAAAAAGTGTCCTTTTTGGTTCCTACCTCGCATTTCATACTTCTTGAAAACAGCGCTTGTAAAAAACTGGAATTTTCTAGTCATGCTTGCAAAGATAGGTTTACTTATTTGGGAGCAGGCCAACATTGCTTTGCCTACATTCCATTTCTCATATTTTTGATACATGGCCACGAGAAGAATACGATATGTTTCTATCGCTCTATAAAGAGTATAGGTAGAGTAATGTCTGAGGGTGGTAAATTTCATACTTCAATATTTCAATACCGTATTTTCAGCTTCGTAGAAACCATCGTGCAAATGTTTCAAGGATATCTTAAGCGCCAAGCATATATCATGCGATTCATCGCCTCGCGATTCCCATAACAAGACAACTGTTACGAGTTCATTGCGTGCTGATCATCTTGCACTTCAGTTGTGTTAGTGAACGCGGTTAGTGGTGTGGGAAAACTATCACCCCCAAAATGTGAGATACTCTGCATGCAATGAACTCGTAAGTTGTCGTATTGTGAGAATCGCGAGGCAATGCGCGGATTTATGCCCGACCCTTTAGGAGAGCTTTATCGAATGATATGTTTCTACATTTATTGAATCTGGTTTTCCGTAGTGGCATGAGCAACCCGCAGTAACAGAGTGCAGCATCATGCAATCATAGCCAACAAGTAAATAAGTTGGTGTGCCAAGTTGTTAAGACACCGACACGTTAGTGTTAACTTAACGAGTTATTTTAGTGATTAGTCACCAGACTTAAATGGAGTTTGTCGAGTTTAGACCATTACTTATAATATGGCAATGAAAGGTGTAAATGCAGAATGCGAGTACTAGTCTTCTTGTACCTTCTCCCATTATGCTACTCGTGGCCTAGACTCGTGGGGTGGGTACAATCAGCTGGGGCATCAGTGACACTTCGTTGTAACGGTAAACCGTTCCATGATGCGACAGTATGGTTGCGAGACGCGGAGCCTGGAAGTGAGTCAGAACTGCAAAGTTTAACTCATTTCAAATTTTAATTTCAGCACCTGATAATGACGATACGATAGGTGGACCCGTCGCACCGGACAAATTTGGAAAAGCTAAAGTTGAAGGCAGTGCTAGGGAGATAAGCCAAATCGAACCATACCTCGAAATCGAGCATATGTGCCTTGGGGTACGCTCGTTCCCTCTTTGCCAATGATTAGTTAGATTTCAAGAAGAAGTCGGAGTAGCATACTCATAAGATAACAAAAATAAGGCAAAAAAATGAAAATGTCTCCTTTTCGGTGTTTCACGTCACATTTCATACTTTTTGAAAACAGCGCTTGTAAAAAACTGAAAATTTCTAGACATGCTTGCAAAAGAATTTACTTATGTGGGTGCAGGCCAACATTGCTTCCATCATTCCCGTTCTCATTCAATGCTATGTTGTTAAGGCAATAAAATGTTGTTTAGATGCCATGGCGTTTCTGCCTGGACCTGCCATCAGAGTTTCTAAACTATGGCCCTAAAGCAAAGAAATACTGGCATATCAAAGTGGAGCTCTCCGATTTTGATTGGATGTTCAAAAAAAGATGCCGACTTGACATATACCCATATCCAATTCCTTCAAGATGATTTGTGCCTGGTATTCAAGACATGTGTTGATGTCAGCCGTATCCACATAAACAAGTTTCAAAGATACATTTGTCCTGAGAGATATACGCGTCTCTATTTTTCCCTTTGTCATTCCTCTAAGCTAAACAAGCTTAGTTATGAAATCCTTCATGATCTTGATTTTTGCCTTTAGATTATCTAGACTAGAATGGAAAGAAGAAGAAAGAAAAAACGAAATGCTGCGTCAAACAAGATAAGGCATGAGTGCAAGGAGGTTTCCAAACATTAACTTACTCCATATTCTTCACCTCAAATTTGCTCTCACTTTCGGACTTCCTGAAACAGTGCGGACTAAAATCAGCTTTTTTTAGCTTAACGCTTTGAAGACTCTATCATAGAAATGTCTCACGTAACGTTCTTATGAAGCGCATGGATTTTGGCTGTGAACTCACATGTATTGCGTTACTGTCTTATCACCGCTCTTTCTGCGTAAACAATGCTGTTGAGCTTCGAAATTTTACAGTGGACCGCTGATTGGCAATGAATTGGCAGAGCCTTCAAGTCCACTGTAGCCCAAACCTTACCTGCCACTTCATGGCTTAAGTCTAAGGGCTAAACTGTGCGGGGGGGGGTCCACTTCCCAACACTCCGGGAGGGTTCATTTTGAAGATACACTTCCTTCAAGATGATTTGTGCCTGGTATTTAAGGCGCCCTGGCTAGTGCAATTTCAGAAAATATGGGGTTTTTGTCAAAACTGGCAAATAAGGGAAGATCGTCGTTTTCATAACAGATTAACAGGACGAATCAAAAAAATATGTAAAGGGTATCTTTCGGTGGAGCAAGCAAACTCTACAAGATGACATCTGAACATTGGCTTGAGTTATGGTTTACCCAAAGTTCGAAACTCAAACATAAGAGCAACTCATAGTATTAAAGATCGGATTTTTTTTGCCCCAAAAGAATCCCACAAGGCAGTGTGTTACCAAAATTTGGTTTTCGAGAATTTTGCATATCGCAAGCCTCTTCGTCCTTCTCTAACTCAATGCGGGTCCAAAAATGTATGAAAACAAAACTCCCGTATCTTGAAAGTTCCGTGGAAGCAACGTGGACGAGTTGCGCCTTCTCAGCCTGGCTTTCGCCACAGTGGCAGCGACACCATAAAAGTGGATGCCAAATGCCAAAAAAAAATGTTAAGCATAAGGAGGAAACCTGGAACGATATTCGTGCATGCCAAATCGCGCATTGCGTTCCACTTTGAGGGCAAATTTCTCGCGTAGAAGTCCCCTGATCGAGTGGGACTTGGTAAGGTCGCCTGTTCAGGCGGTCCTCTAACGAAATATATGATGACCCGTATTACCCCATTCTGGTCTGGAAACACCGCCCATAAGCATAAATTTGGGCCTTCGATATGCTTTAATTCATGAGAAATACCAATTCCAGATGAAAAAAAAACCGAAAAAGCGATGTTTTTCTTTCCAGCCTAATATTTGCCATAGCCTAACTACTGCTGTCGTTCGGAGCGAGGGGATCGCTCTGGAAGCTCCAATTTAATCCTTGTAGCCAATTAAGTTTATAGGTTCCGGTACAGGTCCAATACATTCTCACACATGATTAATCTAATCCTCCGGAATCAGTAAATCTTCAAGGGCTGCTTGTAACAAGTTCAAAATCCCTTGTTTCATATTTATGAGTGCATTTGGAGATGTAGACAAAGCCCTGTCAGGCGATTAAAATGAGACTAGCTTTGCAATAACAAATTATTCATCTTTGTAGTAGCTCAAAACTTGTTGACGTAAATCCTAATTCACGGAAAACGGGCAGATGTAATGATTCAAATGTACCACTTGGTAGAATAATCAATACTGACAAAATGGTTAAGCTCCATACGGATGTCGTAGATTTGATTAAATGAATAGCGAATTTGAATATGAGATGCAATTATTTTGGCCCTAGCCGGTCAACATAGTAGGCAAGCTCTGCACGAGGTGACCCTAGCAACTCCTAACGTAAAAAGTCCTCTTCACTACACAGCACTTCTACGACATGCCCTGTGGAGTGCTTACAAAAAAAGAAAATAACGATTTAGCACTAAAAACCATTTCAAAACTTGAGAAAAAACCGTTCTATATGGTTTGCTTTGGTGGCATGCTGTGTCGACCGCGCAGCACTGCGTGTTTGGAACGGCACTGCTGCAAGCATTTGAAAATTTTGAGGCTGTAAAAGTGGAGAGGAGGGGTTATGCGGCGGAAGAAGGCGTAGATTGATAAGAGGATTTAGAGTAGAATTATGTAAAAGGTTTGAAAAAAAACTATGTGAGGGCTAAATTATGACTTTTTTCTTTTGACGGCCATCTTAGGTGGCCGTTCAGCTGGCCGTAAAGCTGGCTAACTCCAAAAAAAGTTCGCCACAGATTCACCCCACATAATTTCTCCACAACTTTTCATAAATGGTTCCAACTCTCCATTGCACACCTACGCACTAAGTTTGATTCCATGCCATTGTGTTTTGGTCATAAGGAAGGCTTCTGTTTGATTGGCTGATTTTGAGTTCCTGCGCAGCACGAGAACGTGTCAAAACATGTTGTCAAGGGCTTTGTCCTGACTTGTAAGCAGGGTAAAGCGGAGGGTGCGGCACGCCACACCGGGGGTCGTAAGGGTGGGGGGGGGTAAGTGAGGGGGGGGGGGTCGTATCGACCCAAGGTCAAAAGCGGTTTTTAAGGGGAAAAGCACTGAAACAAAATTTTTAGATGTGCCACGCTCTTTCCCAACTGCCTCTGACAACCCAGCCGATTAGCCAATATAAGTGAAAAAAAATACAATGGACTCTTGGTTGGGGTACGAGCTGTAATTTCAATAGAATTTCTCCAAAAAGCAGCTTTTGCAGTTAGTTGATGGATGATGGTGTGACGATCGACGAGTGATATTTGGGAACGTGAATTATTCTGTCAATATAAAATACAGTTAAAATGACTTGTGTTAAAAAAAGAAGAACACTACGCATATTGTTCTTGTAGTTTCAATGCGAAATGTATATCTGAAAATATATTTATCCGTTGCATACTCTGATAAAATGAATAGTATTGTATCAAATGATTCGTGGTACAGCAGATGTGAAGATTTTCAGTCTGTTTCCTCAGAAGATCCGATTGAGAAAATACTTATCTTATTGTTAGCAAGTTCTTCTTGCAATAGTCGGTTCTGAACTGAAGTGTTGAGAGCCGGTAGGAGAACATGAATGGCCGCAAAATACGCATTTACTATCAGATGTTGGCTTTCATTCATTTGAAACGGTTTGAAAAGAACGGGGTTGTTCCGTTGGTTTCAGGCCTTCTGGCATCCTGTGTGCGCAATGGCCGCAACCGCGCCCGACTCCCGTAATCCTGCAGAGCCCTATACGCACCCACTGGCTCTAGATGCTGAGAAAGCGGATTCTTCTGAAATGCGCGTTCAACTATGTCAGTTCAGTTGACTTCAAACTGTATCGATACTGTTTTAGGCATGATTTACAGAGCGCTTGTGACCTATCGACAAGAACGTGAGCGAAATCCACGGCTTACATCTTATGAGCACGTTTTTTTCGTTAGTCAAAGTACCTGTACTACTTCATGACTCTATCAATGGGATCACCAAAACTGCATCGGATCCCACATGTTCTACGGATATGACCTCCAATGTGTCTTTACCTAATTTTAGATAGGTCAAGTAATTGTTCTGCATGTAATTTGTGACCTTTTGTCAATTTGCTGATAGTACATTTTAGTCATAGAATGCGTATCCTGTACTTATTTCACCTCATCTTATTGCCTCCAAGAGTCTTAGTCTAGCATCAACCAAAGCTTTCACATGTCCGGGTCGAATTGCACATTGTTCTTGTTCATTCTGTGCAAATATGTAAGTACGCGATACTCAGTTGTTTGTCGCAATAAAAGGTGATACTTTGTATTCTGCGTCCTCCACATTAATTTTGTTAGCTTGTCTTTGAAAATTGGTGTAAGTTTTTCTATCCTTCTTGATCGAGTCTTGAGGAGCAAATAAGTTGGGAGTTCGGGGGGGGGGGGGGAGTAGAGAATGGGGAGGGGGTGGTGTCGAGGTCCGGCTCAAGGAAGGGGGGGGGAGGTCGTATTCGACGATCGTGTGCCACACCCTCCGCTTTACCCTGCTTGTAAGCGGTGAGGAACTCTGGGCGGACATTTGAACGTATTCAGTTCCACTGTTTTATTCACTACCCCGCAAAAGCGATATCTCCTCTGCATGTCATTCTCAAAACGATCCTACTATAATAACGCGCTAAGGCCGTCTGTTTTTTTGTGTGTGTGTCTGTCTGTAAATCTGTCTGTCACGAAATTCGGAGGAAGAGTTTCAGCCAACCCCTTGAGCCCAAATTTTGCATATTACATCCTAGCAGCAGGAAAGTCCATTGTGCAAAAGCACAAGCGGATCCGATAAGTGGATCCCCTAGAAATTGCGCCTGAAGCGGGTCCACTTAACTTCTGGCCGGCAAAATTGGGTCCGTATATAAACTTTTTGCAAAGTCGTGGATATGTTTGACAAGCTAATGTACAAGCCATGGACTTTAGCCCAAAAAATTCGACTAAAGTTGGTTACTTTACGAAGATGGCGCCAAACAGAATTAGTTGCGTAAATGTTCAATTTCCCAAAATTTTACCTGATCACTTGAAAAGATTTTTGCACAGTGATGTAGCCCACGATGATTATTACCGTTATGGCGACTACCAAGCCATAAAAAGTCCACAAACCTACTCAAATTTGCATTTATTCTTCCGAGAAAAGTTTCGTCCTCGTGAGAATACCGATCACACGCAAAAAAGCTTTAGGAATGAGTAGCTGTCTACAAATCATTCGTGATAACCTGCATAACGCGGTGAGTTTCAATGTCGCTATTATGCGGGAATGAGTAAGGCATACAGAAAGTAGGGCCAGTGCGAGCCTCTGCGAAGCAGAGGTGATGCACTGGTAATATACATAAAATACAAAAGCTGCTTCAAACAAAATGACTATTGAAAATG